AAGGACAACTGAATCGAAAAGGACGACTTGATTCATTTATCGAGCACTTTTTAACAAATGCAGCTGAATAGTAGTGGTATCTTCTAAAATATTTAAATTATTTGGAAAGCAAGAAACACGTTAGATGATTTCGTCAAGGAACAAAGTTATACAATATTCCTTTTTTCCGCTTCCCAGAAAACATTCCGTGCCCCTTTGTTTTCCGATTCCCAATTTACCATTAGAGAAAGCGTGCCTCCGCGTCGCTGTTCTGAGAGATTTCTCGGAACGAACAGTCCTGGATAGTTTCCTAGGCTGACTCATTTACTTATCGATTCGGGAGAATAGTCTAGGGTTTATTTATAGACAGTCGGTTGTTTCATTGCAGATCGGACCTCGAAAATGAGACCTAAAGTGGCCTCGAAACGTTGGTTAGAAACGTTGGTTAGAAACGTTTTGTCAATAAATGCGAAAATAAACGTGAAAAAACAACACTGACTATAAAAAAATCCTGGACCATACTTCTGAATCTATACGCACACTGTTCTGTTTACCCTATTATTACGAAAATGTTGATTCGCAACAAAAATATTGAAATCTGAATCATTTTCTTGAGAAACGTCAATGAAATATTACAATAATTTTTTTTGAAATTTAATTTAATTAATTTAAATTAATTTCATTAATCTTTTCATTCACAAACACGTTTGTGCGCATTTACATGAATTTAAACGAACTGCTAACTCTGTATTAGTATTTTTTCATATTTTGGAATTAAATAAAAAATTAGTTCATGTATTTGAAACTAATTCCCCTTTTTATTGAGTTATTTTAAATTAATTTTTTTTTAAAAAATAGTACTAATTATTGCACAAATATATTTATTCAATACTTTCACACGATTAAATAGTATTATCAAACTTTTTTCTGACAATTCTAATCCCTTTAATAAGTGAATTCTAAAAACGGTACAAATAGCCGATAATAATAGAAATGTATAATCCCGTTTTCATAAAAAAAGATTCTCTGAAAATACCATTTACGAGGTGGAAGCGAAACCGCAGCCTCAATGGCAGATGGGGTGGGGGTGGGGGCGGACGCCAACGGCAGCCAGGGCGACAGACGTCCGCGCCCCTGAGAGAGGCGTCATCGGCAGCGGGACACGCGAAGTCTCCCGACCACTGGCAGAGCTTGCGGAAGAAGACTCGATGGTGAATGAATGATGTGGAACAAAATCGGCCATCTTTCACTCTACTTGCGAATAGTGTTTTCATCCATCATGGAAAGAGTTACGTTTGTATGAATGCTTGTCACGGTTCAAAGTCGAAGCCATTAAAATCAAAAGCTAGCAAATGCGATCGCAATGTTGTTATTTTAAAATCTGTTTCCTAAGAAATGAAATCTAGTTTTCAAGATTTGACAATGGTTGAGGTATAATTTTGTGTATTTACTACTTCGCATTCACTACACATTGATACAGTACTCACTGATTTCAAGATAAAATTAAGTGTCAATTGCGATAGTCATATAAAAGATCGATTGGAAACAGTTTGAAAAGAAACTAATCTTGAATAGAAATTTTCCTCCGTAATTCTTTCCCTGTGTGTTTACATGTTCAGCTAACATTTTTATCTGCTTACGTTTGGGAAGATTGTTTTTTTCTTTGATAAGAGTTCCAAATGGAAATGATCCATGTGATCACAACCGTGAATGTCCTAGACTAGTACGGAAACTATTTTTCCAAATGTCGATGAAGATATGATACTTGCAATGAAGATATGATCTCAATAAAACGACTTATAATTCCATTAACAGCAAATTTTCATTACGAGTTTTTCTATTTTCTAATTAAGAATCGCTTTTTATAACGGTTATTAAGTTTCTTTAATTAAAACCTCGTGTAAAAATTCTTGCCTTTCGTAATTCAGTCATGTACCTCCCAGCGATGTTTCCGCGCCCACATTCCTCCGTTGTCCGCTGCAGCGACGGTGTTGAGAGGGAGCGCGCGCGAGGCAAAGAGGAATTCGGCTGCCCGTGCGGTCCAACTGGCCGCCCTTCGGGGTCTTCGCGTCTGGTGTCCCAGAGAACGAATGCATATTGCTTTATCTTTGAAGAGGTGCTGCCGCAGAGGAAGGGAAGAGCCTCTTTGCCAGATCTTGGGCTGTTTAAGGCGGCGGATGTTTCGCGCGTTTTTGCTCGCGCAAATGGGACGGCGCGGCGAGGGCTCGCCCTGCGATAAGGAGGCGGAGTGGCTGGTGGACGCGCTCAACTGCTCGAGATCGCCTCTCAGCCGGGTAGAGGTCCGGCGTCAAGGCGCCTGGGCGCTCTCTCGAGACCTCCCATTGACCCTCTTCTAATCCTTTCTCCTCCATTCCTTCCTTTATATGGACATTCGTGGTCAAAACAATTGTGGCACCTCAACGCCTTCTTTCAGTTATCCAATTTAAAATTCCGTTTGGCCATTTCTCTTTTTGCATCCTCTGGACGCAAAATGGCCTCCAATGGCCAAACCATTGGAGACCTTTGTTTTCTAGTCTTCGGTTTATGGTTGTTTGCTCGATATATATGTATATGATTGTACAACCATTGTGCTCATCATGTAAGTGATATCACTACATCACATTACTTAATACAAGTGTTCACACATTTAAGTGAAAGGAAGAAGATGTAATGTATCGATTGACGAAATTTATATTTGTGATAACTTCAGATACAAGAACAAGAACATTGTACGAGTAGAAAATAACAAGCAAGAAGTGGTAAAAATGTTGTTAGTTTTATAATTTCCTCTGCGTTCGGAAATTTTCAAGATATTATCAAATACATCCCTGTGCATAATTTATCAGAAAAATATTAAAGCAGTGTAACACTTTAAGTAATTAATTTTATTTAGGATTTGAATTTAGAGTTCTATCTGTAATAACAGATATTAACAGAATAAATCAATAAATGTTCAAGTGTTTGTCACCTACAAACACTATTTACAATCCAGCAGGTAAAACCTTAAATGTTTTCTTAACTTTTCATTTTGTACATATTTTTAAAAATATTACAAATATCTGGAAAAAACTTAAATGATTAAAAAAAGACTTGTGTGTCTATATTTTGAAACATGAGATCCAAAAGACGCACTTTTTTCTCACTTGGAAGAATTTCATGCCAAAGACGACCATGATCTTACGAAATAGCTTTTCGATTAAATCGGAAAATCTTATTTCTAAGTAATTTTGGACGCCAAGATGTGACATTAGTTGATAATAGTTTTAGCCATTCAGCAATTGCTGTTTTAAGTACTGTGGGGATGTGGTCGGATATTGTAATTATAAAATCGGTTTTCAAAGGACAAATAAAGAGAAACAATTGGTATGAACCAATTTTTCATGTGTCAGATGAAAAACGTTATTTTCCGAAAAGGATTTTGCAATGGGTTATAACCTTGAGAATTGAGGGAACACGTGGACTGAGTGGAGACGCATCTTTAATATTAGAGCAAAGTTCATATGTGTTGGTGAATGTAGTGGAATATTCTTTGAAGAATATGAATGTAAAGTATGTTTTAGTAGGCACATTCTAAACGGATAAAGTTGAAGAAAGATTCGGAAAGTTTTGAAGGCTGTCGGGGACATAATGTTTTGTTCAGGCAGATAATTGAACTAGAAAAGAAATTAAGAATGCATAAAATCTTTAAGTTGATTAAGTCAGATCGAGTTTTACTAAAATAATTAACATATCATTGTCATAATGTTTCTGAAATTTCTTGTAACTTGCAAGATTATTTATTTCTGGCATCTGACTACCTTGAAAATGTATATGTACATCAGTGTGTGAATAATTATATTTGTGGATGTGCTTCTCGTTGTATTGGTACTGGATGTGGCGTGTGTTTACATCTTGTATGCTCATCGAAAAATACTTCTGTACCAGATGATGCATATTTTAACAGGTTACAAAGGGGAGGATTATCTTTGTCATCTAAAATCCTCATCTCTGTATTTACTCACACTTGTGCCATTTTCAGTTTGTTATTAATTCAAGGGAATAAGAACAAAAATTCCTTTCTGAATTGGAACAGAAACATATACTTGTTTCATTGAACAAGCTATCTTTAGAGGCAAATAGTGTCTTAGAACATATCAATCCCCTATGTATTTGTGGATATGATGTTCAACAGGCTGTAACCAAAGCATTGTCCATAATCTGTAATATTTTACTTAACAATTACACCAAAATATTAAGTGAAAAATATGAAGCAGATAAACTGAAAAAACAATGGAGACATTTGTAAGTTAATATTGTGTTGTGTATCGTTTCTATGAATTGTACATAAAATTTCTTATTTATGCATTCAAAATAAAACTTTTAAAATGCAGAATTTTTTGTTTCTTTACTTTAACCAGAAGTAATGGTAGTGCTATGAGTCTTGACAGGTTGTAGGGTAATTGACTGAAATGTTTTTCTCATTCTCTAGCATGGCCCTCAGATAGTTACAAAAATTATTAAATTTTAGAAAAGTAAATTTGTGAAGTTAATCGTTTTTTTTCTGTTTTTTTCCTTAGTTCTTACGTATATGATAAGTTGTTAGGTGAAATGAGAGTAAGCATGGCCATCTCTAGACGGGCCATCCCAGAGAGGGCCGTGTGGTAAGCCATCGGGAGATATACGGGAGTCGCACGGGTGCGTGGAGTCGCGGGGTTGCCACGTTTAACAGCACGGCTTGTAAACTACAGATGGCACTGGTTTGGTCCATGATGGTGTTTTAGGCTTGATGTTGAGTTGATGATTCGGTGCTGTAAGTTGTCGGTGTGTTTAAAGCTAGCTCACCCGTGACAATCTAAATGCACGTAATGAAGCTAGCAGCTATGACTCTTTTAAGATAAGCGCTGAGAGGCGGTTCTCAAGTGGTGCAACACAACATGAATGGTTGATTATGTTACTTTGACATTTATTTTATTTATTTACAATATTATGTGTATGGTTTTGGTTTTATGTTTGAAATAAATTTTCTTTTTGTTTTAGAATAGCGTTCTGGATAATGTTGCCATCATTCAAAATTCCCATCTTGGGTAAGTGCAAGCATTATTTTTAATATCAACTAAGAATGAAATGTTGCAACTGTCCTCATGGATTGTTAGAACGATGAGTGAGACTGTTATTAAATTTAAGAACTTGAAAAACATTGTTGCAACTTCTGAATGTGAATTCTATAAGATGCTTGATAAATTTATGGCTCTCAATGCCAAACGTAAGCTTAAAATATATAAGCGGCATTTTAGACATTACAAAGCAATATTGTGAGATAAATATTTCAGATTTTAACATTAAAAAGAGCTATGTAAATCACTGGACTCTAAATGCCCAATAATCAGAAAAGGAATAAGGAACACAATGTTCAGAAAACGAATCATATTTACACAGTTTCAGTGTGATTAAGTCTTACTCTCCTACTAATATTGAAACTAACTTCTTTGACCGGTTTATTTATGTAACTTATTCATGATTGAATATTACATTATTTTAACTATTTTAATTTTTTATTCCTGTTAGTCCATATTTCACTCCACATTTTGAACATTTTTACCTATATGCACGTAAATACATATTAAATTAAAATAAATTTAATACATATTATTCCATATGAATATTAGCTCTGTGGATTATGAGAAGATTACCAGTAGCCTTATTCAAGAGAATAGAGAATTTTAAGCAACAACCTCGCCTCGACTCTCGAGCCGGATCCCAGACTTCGGCGCAGGGAGCGTGGCCGTTGGTGTGCGCGCCTCGTGCGTCGGGAGACCAGCGCTTGCGCGAGACACTGAGAGCGAATGACTGGGTTGAAATCGTAGCAATTCAGAGTGAGATAATTTTATTTGTTTGATATACGCTTCTTTCATTTGATTTGTATTTTACCTACTGTTATCTTGAGATATCACCGACTGTTTCAAAAGTCAGTAATAAGCGCTTTCAAACCATTTTAGCAATGATCACTTTATTGCAGAAGAAAATATGTAATGAAATATGTTTAATGCTGACACAGAAGTGAAGTAAGTTATTATAACGCCTTAATGGAGCCATGGATCCATGTGACGCTATTGGAGCTATCCGGTCTGGCAGACTGGGTGGTTAGATTTTATTTTATGAACATAAACATCAAGCGTTGGCAACTTAAAAGTAGTAGAAACTCTAAATCATCATTATATAAAGATTTTAAAACAATGTATTATTACAAAGTTACTATTACACTTAAGGAATATAAAAGTCTTAAAATGTTACTAAAGTGTCATCAAAATATTCATGTCTTATAATTTCATGAAACTAAAAATATAATTAACATGTTTACATTTATTTTCTATGCATTTTATAAAAATAAATGTAATTCTCTTCTACTATAAAATCAAACAAAATTTAGGAGCACAGACTGTCCGGCTGCACTCAAGGCAGATAGATTTTGAGCATCTGATTAATTGGCTCTGCGCCTTTCTCTCTTTGACAGAAGGAAACTTGCGGCATGTCTTTCGGTTGCTCATCTTATCTCTTGGCATTTCTTGTGGATTACATGAATGATCATTACTGAGTGCCAGGTTATTTCTAATAGAAGATTTTGCATTGCACCGAAGGTTGGTCCGGTAATCATCTAACAATATTGTGAGCTGGAACCCCCATGTTTCGTCTAGGCTCAGAACCACTCCACTTGAGGCTATGCTCGTTCCTTTCACGTTTCCCACAAAATAATTCAGGCTCTGTCTTGTGTTGCAGCTCACTTCTATAACGTTCCTTGTTCAGAAGATCATCCCTTTCTACTCTGGAGTCCGACAAATCAGAGTTTTCATTTAAAGACACGAAATTGGGATCTTCATCGGAATCGTCAATTTATGAGTCTGAACAACATTCGTCACCAGAAACTTCCTCTAACATAACTTGAATTCGTCTTTCGAAGACCACGTCAGCAACATGCATAGGGCTATCCATTACACTTCAGTTTCAATCAAAGTGTAATTGGAGTAATCGGGTACACAAGGCCTGATGCACTATATACGCTACTGGAGCTATCAGACATGAGGGACCTGTAGGATTAACAGACACAATTCTCACAACCAATCAAACAAAACTGATTAACAACTGGAGTGTAGAGGGGAGGTTAAAGGGAAAAGCTATAGGGCGGGAGATTCACTGGCGCAAAACAGGAGTGCATTTATAAACAATAAAAAAAGTTACAGGTCTGAGAGACCGGTAGCTACATTAAAATGATAAATCGAGTGTGAAAAACTGACTTTAATATCATTAGATTTGAGTTATTATTTCACGCTTGAAAGCAAAAATAAAACGCAGGTTTCTGTAAAACTATTCTCACAAAATATTTTTATAAGCACTACCAGTCAGAGAGTTGTACACGTATTTACTAAAATATTATTGCATTGATTTCGTTTATTATGTATGCGATGTTTCTGGGTATTGCATTAAGTATTTATTATGAGTTAAAGTACAATTGCATTCCATACGTAGGGATATTGAAGTACATGTAACATAGGCTTTCCATCACATAGAAGTAGGTTTCGTGAAAGAAGTTTTCGTCTAAAAATGTCTCGAAACACAGGAACTAGGTTACCTATTTAATTGAATGATGGTTAAAGCTAGTATGTGCATGGAATACACTTCTTCCCATAGTACTTCCAATAGTATAACTTTGTTGACGTTAAATAAATAAAAAAGTATTATGGTGGAGCGAAGAAAGGCTCAAGCAGAACAGCTTTTCGGCAGAACTCCTTCCCGGACCCTGACGGAGGCGAGCGTGGGCGCGTGAGGTCAGGGGACTGGAGCGAATTGATCGGTAGGGCGAGGAAAGTGAACAATGCCTTCCTCTTCAACGCTTTCACAACTGCCACTCATCAGCATCTTTGCTGTCAGCCTCGCGGCATGAATTTGCATCGGTTGGTTGATTGGTTTCGGGTTCGACAGCTGCTGTGGTCAGTGTAGTTGTCTTCTGGGAAGAGGTAGAGCTCCTCCCTCGTTGGGTGGCGAGATCCGGCGTCGCACTACACGTCGCCTTGCGAGATTTTTCCCTCCACGGATCTCCCGACACGCGTGGTAGTGCAGTGTACAAGGGGAGGACAAGGGAGGGCACGCAGGGTCCGTGGCCCGTTTGTCAGTGTGGCTGCTCTGTCATTTGCCTGCTATTGATCAGATATACGCGGATCTATGAATCAATCAGAGCAGCCGGTAGCTAGAAGTCCCCTCAAGACACTGGTTAAATTCGACTTGTTTGTAATGCCGAAACTCTTCCAGCGTGAAGATTCGAACCCGAGGATGCCTCGCCGCCGACATCCCCCAATCTCAGCCGGGGCGACATCCCCTTCCTCCCTCTCTTCTGCCGCCGCAGCCCCAACCCCTTGCACACTCCTCTGCTGCTTCCCTTTTTCTATCATTCCGTTCGGGAAAACGCGCAGAGTGCAGGGATTTTTTTCTGCTGCAATCTTCTTGCGAAGAAATGCAAAGTACTGACAGCTCTTTCTCCCTGACTAGGAAAAACACCTCGTTGCACTTCCACCATCTACGAGTAGTTACTATGTAGTTTGACATAGCGCACTTTATTTCGGTGTGAATTGAACTTTCGCCTGGATCTCGCACACCTCGTAAAAAAGAATTGTGCATGTATTCCGGAGAGTGTTGTTCCAGTTGTAAAATTCTCATTACCCTCAGAATATTCTCGCCGGCTTGCGATCTGTGCGTTCCCCTTCCATGGCGGCGTCCACATCTTTCACCCTCAGTGCTGCCCGCCCCCGCCCCCCCCCGCTCCCCCCTGCAGCGCCCCGCTGATGCGACCGTCGCGTCGCTCCCCCCCAACGGGCGAGGTGCGCCGTGGCGTCGCCGGGCGCCTTTGTCGTCGACCCTGCTGCCCGCCCACGCCCGCGGCCCACGCCAGCCCACGCGCTTTCGCCGCCAAAGGGCTGCGCGCTGGCGGAAGGCGGCCGGCGTCGTCATCGGCTTCAGCGCTTTGCGCTCAACCGCATTTCTTTCTCTGAGCGCCTCCCAGGGACCTGTGATCGGAGTCATTCGAACGTCGCTTCGCTTCAGCTCAAATCACGCGTGGGCTTACTCACCTTTTCAATCTCTGATGTTCAAATGCCAACAAAGAATGTAATATACCTAAAATACGGTATCTATGGACGCCATGACTGAATGTCCCTGATTTAGAAGATGGAATAAGATACGCATTTACATTGTGTGGGATGTTTATACAAATGTGGTATTTTTATCTTCGAAGAATGGTTCAGGAATTATAGAAAGGCAATTTATTTTTTCAGATTATAGTTCGCTCTCTATAATAATTCCTGGATTGTTCTCCTGAGTTTAATTCAAATACACAGTCTAGGATATAAATTCGAATTTTTAAAAATCTCGATTCCTGTGAATGCGGATCAAAATTTAAAACGTGCCATTATCATTAAATTGATTTGTTTGAAGGTCAGCAATTTCCTGTTTTTTTCAGCATATTAAAATGTTTATACAAAATATAATTCAATGTTACATAAGGTGCGATACTACGGTTACAGTAACCAAAACAGGTCCAAATCCACTCCAAAATTAAAATATTGCGAAATAATTTTACAAAACAAACAAACAAGTGCGTGTGTTGAAATTGTGAATTAAGTCCTAAAACTTAATGCTTGTTTTGCTCAAAACGATATAACAAAATGGCCGGTCTGGAGAGCCGAGGGCGCTAAGGGCTGAGCTGAAGAGCGTCGCTGCGTCGATTCGAAGAGTCGCGGATTCGCATCCCGTACCAGCATGGATGTTTTTGAATGTGTGTAGTCCTTGCGCGTTCCCTCTACAGTTACTAATCGCTGTAAAGCAATCACAGTGGTCACTATATGATGTAGAACTAAAACAACGACCTAAAGTTTATAAAATAAAAAGTAATAAAACCGTATGCAAGTGCTCAATGTCACATATTACAATTAAGTTTCCCATGTTCAAGCTGTGAGCGACCCATTCTCGTTCATAATAATGAACAAAATATCATAATAAGGGACATGTTGAAAATAAAATGCTGAAATATCGAAAGAAA